TATTTTGCCTTTTAAAGGTAGTCATTAATTTTATTTATAAGAAATATTTTTCTGGTGTTAAATGACTTCATTTGGCTTRCACTCAAACTCCATTCCCAGGAGCTCACAACCCATATCAAATACAAGTTAAATGTTCTTCCATTAGAATTCTATTTCAGATGTCTGAAGTATGACAGCCCTCCTGTGAATTTAGAGGTTGTTGGCTTTGATATCAAAATTACCAAGTGCCACATTGATATCCTAAAAATGGCTTGTATAAAATATCTGAAAGACATTTTCTTTAAAGAATAGAGGGTAGTTTTGCTATTAGGTGAACTGTGAACAATACCAGTTCATCATTTAAAAACCAAATAAATATAAATAAAATTATAATCAAAATTCAAAATTTGCTCCAAAATTATTTTATTAATTATTATAGTAAAGATTTTGATGAGGTAATAGTATGTTGAACTTAAAAGAGAGAGAGAGAGATAAATTATGTGTCAAAAGTTTGCTGGTACATAACACATTAACCTTCTTAGAATTTACTAATTTGAAAAAAACTTGCAAAGCAATGTAATACTGGCACAGTATTAAATACATGAAGTTAAACTAATCAAATGATTGGCCATGTAATATTAAATTAAGGATAAGATAATTGTTTATTTTTGACATCATCAACATTAAGCAGTGAGGTGTTGAGCATTCCTGACCAAATCAAGTGGACCACAACTGCTGAGGGGGCAGGACTTTGTGTATAAAAGCACCAGCCCTGGCCATTTGCTTTAACTGAAAGGCATCTAAGACAGGTGAGTGCAGTGAATAATTTCTGTATCTGTTAGATTTTTCACATCATATAACCTTTTAAAACAGTGTATAAATGCTGATATTTTATGTACTAAAATCATTTTATACTAAAACAGATTTAACAATATTTTAACCTTTTTTGTTGTAGCACCTTGACATACGCAGCACAAAGAATTTCAGTTTGCATCAGCTGAGGTATATATCTATAACTTATGCATCATACTGGTATACACTCACTGAACCTTTATTAGGTACACCTGTTCAGTAGCTTGTTAACACAAATAGTTTTCAGCCAATCACATGACAATAAGTCAATGTATTTAGGCATCTAGATCTAGTTTCAAATGAGCATCAGCGTGGGGAATAAAGGGGATTTAAGTGATTTTGCACATGTCATGATTGTTGGTTGGAGTTCAAGTATTCCAGAAATTTTTGGTCTACTGGGATTTTCATAGACAACCATATTTAGGCTTTCAGCCAATGGTTTGAAAATGCAGAATTTTTTCACTTTTTCAAACCATTCTCTGAAACTATAGAGACGGAAGTGAATAAAAATTCCAGCTCTGACTCAACAATTATGCCACATTTAAGTTATTTAAATGCCCCTTATTGCCCATTCTGATTCTTATTTGGAACTTCGGCAAGTCATCTTCACTGCATCCAGAAATGTAAATGTATTGGCTTGCTGCCATGTGTGTTAACAAGCTTGTGAAAAGGTGTACCTAGTAAAAATTCCAGTGAGAGAGTAATTATTTGGTGAATTGTAGGTTTATTTTGTAATAATACCAGAGTCTTACATTTTCAGGCTCCACTACTAGTGCCATCATGAGCACAGACGCTGAGATGGAGCAGTATGGCCCGGCGGCCATTTACCTCCGGAAGCCAGAAAAAGAGAGGATTGAGGCCCAGACAGCCCCATTTGATGCCAAATCTGCTTTTTTTGTGGTTGATGAGAAAGAGATGTATCTCAAGGGTAAACTGGTGAAGAAAGAGGGTGGCAAAGCCACTGTAGAGACAGACGGAGGGAAGGTAAAATTGACAATTTAAAGGCTGTTCCTACTTTTTTGCACTTGTTTTTAATTATGTTTAATATGTTCATCGAACTATGTTGAATATTGTGCTTTTAAACCTATAACAACAATTTTGGAGAGTTAACATTAAATTCTCTGTAAAATAACATTTTTATCATTGTTTTATCAGACACTTTAATAGCCTACTTTCCATTTAGACTGTCACTGTAAAAGAGGACGACATCCATCCCAGAAACCCTCCAAAGTTTGACAAAATTGAGGACATGGCCATGATGACCCACCTCAATGAGCCTTGCGTGTTGTATAATCTCAAAGAGCGTTATGCATCATGGATGATCTATGTGAGTTTTCACATGACTGAAAACTGTGATAGTCAAAATATAATATCAGTCCGCATGTGCATATAATTGTTGTCTCTTCTGCTCTGTCAGACCTACTCTGGGTTGTTCTGTGTGGTCGTGAATCCCTACAAGTGGCTTCCTGTGTATGATGCTGTTTGTGTAGCAGCTTACAGAGGCAAGAAGAGGATTGAGGCTCCACCCCACATCTTCTCCATCTCTGACAATGCCTATCAGTTCATGCTCACTGGTAAGACAAAGATTTTATTTTAAAAAGAATCAGTATGTGTGTAAACCGAACTTGTAAAGGAGGGTTGTTTGTATTTCAGATCGTGAGAACCAGTCTGTCCTGATTACGTGAGTACAACAGCACCTTGAATCTTACTTTGTTACAATACTTATCCGAAAGAAACTTAAAAACATTCTCTTGTACCCCAGCGGAGAATCCGGTGCTGGAAAGACTGTCAACACCAAGCGTGTCATCCAGTACTTTGCAACAATTGCAGCTCTTGGTGGTAAAAAAGAGGCAGCAGCCGCAACCTCGGGCAAAATGCAGGTAAATGGGATTTCAAAGTGCTTACAAGAGGCAACACTTTATGAAAAGAAGATGAAATAACCTTTCAAAAAATCCTTTGCAGGGTTCTCTTGAGGACCAGATTGTTGCTGCCAACCCTCTGCTTGAGGCCTATGGTAATGCCAAGACTGTGAGGAATGACAACTCCTCTCGTTTTGTAAGTAATCACATAAATGTAATGACATAGTGCTAAATGTTTCTTACAAAAATGAAAGACTTATAATTATTAATGTCTTCTCTAGGGTAAATTCATCAGGATCCACTTTGGTACTTCTGGAAAGCTGTCTTCAGCTGATATTGAAACATGTACGTTTTAACTACTCTATTATCTGTTCTTGAATATGAGATTTGTGCTGTGGTACAACATTTTTATATTCCCCAATTTTATCGGTTTCGTCCAGATCTGCTGGAGAAGTCTCGTGTCACCTTCCAGCTGTCTGCTGAGAGGAGCTACCATATCTTCTATCAGCTGATGACAGGCCACAAGCCTGAACTTCTGGGTATGTAAACAGATACGTGAACATAGTATTTTGAAAACATGAAAACAACATTTTTTATAATGCATCCATTTCTTCTATTTGTTTGCAGAGGCTCTGCTGATTACCACCAACCCCTATGATTATCCCATGATCAGCCAGGGTGAAATCACAGTCAAGAGCATCAATGATGTGGAAGAGTTCATTGCAACAGATGTAAAAATACATTTACTTTTTATTTGTTCTTTTATACTTGATAGTAAATCTGTTTTTGTTCCAGATCAATGTTACACTGTATTTTGCAGACTGCAATTGACATCTTGGGCTTCACTGCTGATGAGAAAATCAACATCTACAAGCTGACTGGTGCTGTGATGCATCATGGAAACATGAAATTCAAGCAGAAGCAGCGTGAGGAGCAGGCTGAACCAGATGGCACTGAGGGTAACTGATAAAAAACTGTTACTGTCGGTTATTGAGTTAGCTAGTGTATAAGATTAGTTTCAAGGTAATTAAAATCATGTTTTTTCTTTTGAATAGTGGCTGATAAAATCGCCTACCTTTTTGGCCTGAACTCAGCTGATATGCTGAAATCTCTGTGCTACCCAAGAGTCAAAGTCGGAAATGAGATGGTCACCAAAGGTCAGACCGTCCCACAGGTAATTCAATCTATGCTGCATGTGTTTTTGTTTGTTTTGTGTATTTTTCAAAATGTTACAAATGTTACTTGGTGCAAAACATTGGCTAACTGACTTTGTTTAATATATCTTCTTCTAGGTCAACAATGCTGTCTCAGCTCTGTGCAAGTCTGTCTATGAGAAAATGTTCTTGTGGATGGTCATCCGTATCAATGAGATGTTGGACACAAAGCAGCCAAGAGCATTCTTCATTGGAGTGTTGGACATTGCTGGATTTGAGATCTTTGATGTGAGTTTTTTTGTTGTTGTTTTTTTGGATCCTGAACAGTTTAATGATCATAATTTTTTCCCGTGAATTTAAATAATGTTTCTTTTTATGCAGTTCAACAGCTTGGAGCAGCTCTGCATTAACTTCACCAATGAGAAACTGCAACAGTTTTTCAACCAACACATGTTTGTGCTGGAACAAGAGGAGTACAAGAAGGAGGGTATTGAGTGGGAGTTCATTGACTTCGGTATGGACTTGGCTGCCTGCATTGAGCTTATTGAGAAGGTAAGTATTTGTAATGATCAATTTTTTATGAGTACAAGTATAAATAATCACTGTACATGATTTTTGTATTATAACATTGTTTTTACTTTCAATTTCAATTTCTAATTTGTTCCCAGCCACTGGGCATCTTCTCCATCCTTGAAGAGGAGTGCATGTTCCCCAAGGCCTCTGATACAACTTTCAAGAATAAGCTGGTTGATCAGCATCTTGGCAAGACCAARGCCTTTGAGAAGCCAAAGCCTGCCAAGGGCAAAGCTGAGGCTCACTTCTCCCTGGTTCACTATGCTGGTACAGTGGACTACAACATCACTGGCTGGCTGGACAAGAACAAGGACCCACTGAAYGACTCAGTTGTTCAGCTCTACCAGAAGTCTGGAAACAAACTGCTGTGCTTCCTCTATGCAGCCCATGCCTCAGCTGAAGGTAAGATAGAAAAAAAATAGCATACACATCAAGTGTAACCTAATAATATTTCATTGTTATCCAAAATTTTGGGTAAAGCATTTATTGTTTTGAAAAGATGCTTATCTATCAAATGAGAGACATTGGACATAAAAGTATGACATTTCATCTTTAAATAAACAGCTGAGTCTGGTGGTGGAAAGAAGGCCGGTAAGAAGAAGGGTGGTTCCTTCCAGACGGTGTCTGCTCTTTTCAGGGTGTGTAAACTTTTGTAGCTTTTGAAAACTTATGAGAAGATAATGTTCAAATTATGCTAAAGTGCTAGTGATCCACAGGAGAACTTGGCCAAGCTGATGACCAACTTGAGGAGCACCCATCCTCATTTTGTGCGTTGCCTGATCCCCAATGAATCAAAGACTCCAGGTAAGAAGTCCATTGTCCAAATTGTTGCACTGCAATAGTGACATGGGTATATATTCTAATTACACATATGTATATTCAACAACCAGGTCTTATGGAGAACTTCTTGGTCATCCATCAGCTGAGGTGTAACGGTGTGCTGGAAGGCATCAGAATCTGCAGAAAGGGATTCCCAAGCAGAATCCTCTATGGTGACTTCAAGCAGAGGTTGAGACCCTTTCATGTTGATTTCAAAAATAATTTAAGTGGCCAATACAAGAAACAAAAGTTCATTGCTATTCATTTTCAGATACAAAGTATTGAATGCCAGTGTCATCCCTGAGGGACAATTTATTGACAACAAAAAAGCTTCAGAGAAGCTCCTGGGCTCCATTGATGTGGACCACACTCAGTACAGATTTGGACACACAAAGGTAGGGCTTCTATGGAATACCAAAACCTCTGGAAAAGATTAAATAATTAGGTTGTGTGCTGACAATCAATGCTATTGGGTTGACATTGTAGGTGTTCTTCAAAGCTGGTCTGCTGGGTACTCTTGAGGAGATGAGAGATGAGAAAYTGGCTTCACTGGTGACCATGACTCAGGCTCTTTGCAGAGGTTATGTGATGAGGAAGGAGTTTGTTAAGATGATGGAAAGGAGGTAGGTTGATTGTCAGATAAACAACTGTGTTTAAAATTGTGTTTTTTAATTTGTTTTTAATTCACAGGGAGTCCATTTATTCAATCCAGTACAACATTCGTTCATTCATGAATGTGAAGAACTGGCCATGGCTGAAACTCTACTTCAAGATCAAGCCTCTTCTGAAGAGTGCTGAGACTGAGAAAGAGCTGCAGAACATGAAGGAGAATTATGAGAAGATGAAATCAGACCTGGCTACTGCTTTGGCCAAAAAGAAGGAACTGGAGGAGAAAATGGTTTCCCTGCTGCAGGAGAAGAATGACTTGCAGCTCCAAGTGGCTGCTGTAAGTAGACAGAAAAACCTCTTTTGATTATTTTGATTTATATTTCAGAAATTACCTAACTTAATCCCAAATTTACATATAAAGTTGCATACGTATTAGACTGTTATATTTTGTTATTATGCATGTGATCTGCTTTGTTATCTGCTGCATTACATGTTCAATAACTAACCAATCTGATTATTATCATCATACTAAAATTTATGGAAAAAATTTAACCATATATTTTTTATTCAACAAAAATCAAAGGAAGTTGAGAACCTGGGAGATGCAGAGGAAAGGTGTGAGGGACTCATCAAGAGCAAGATCCAGCTGGAGGCTAAACTCAAAGAGACAAGTGAGAGACTGGAGGATGAAGAGGAAATCAATGCTGAGCTGACTGCTAAGAAGAGGAAGCTGGAGGATGAATGCTCTGAGCTGAAGAAGGACATTGATGACTTAGAGCTCACCTTGGCCAAAGTGGAGAAGGAGAAGCATGCCACTGAAAATAAGGTTTGTACTGGATAAATCGACTATTATGACTACCTTATGTACATTTAGTGATATTAATGTATACTAATG